ACGACTCCAACAGCTTATACGATCTGACCACATGAACAGGTGTCAACCTATTGATATCTGTGTTCAAAGGCTGCAGCACGGACTCGAGGGATCTGCCGCCAGCGAAATCTTTCAAGCAAGACACGTAGTCGGATTCTGCAACATCTGGGTTCGCAACCTGGCGAGGGCGTTTCGATCCCATTGTAAAGTTCAGGGCTCGTCAAAGGAAGCCAGCTGAGCCAAAACGGCTACGATGATAAGGAGGGGTGCGAATGTTGGCCTTGTCACCCCGCCCCGCTCTTTCGATTCAGACTTTCAGACAGACCCTGAACAACTGTGACACTCTGAACGCACGTGAGACTAACCTTACAGACAGCTGTTTAAGGATGAGCGATGTAGATCCGGTGTAGATTTTGAAATTTACGAAGCATCTACACCATCGCGTTGTAGATTCGTTGTAGATTTCAAAATATACAACGAATCTACAACATATCTACAACATATCTGCGACATGGTCACCAGGATTCCTTTGTGGCCCCCAGGTTCCCTTGTCGGGGCCCCATGGGCCACGTGATTTCAGGGCCCCAGGGCCCCCTTCAGGGGCCAGTTGTTTCAGCGCACAAGATTTTACATATGTTTTCTGCTGGGCCCATCGCTGGGCTCGCTCGCTTCTCGCGGGCTCGGTCGGGGCTCTGTTGCCCGAGACGAGGGCGAGGCCAGGCGGCGCGGCAATCGCGCCGAGCGGGAACGGCAGGCAGCCAGCGGGGCCCCGAGATGGGGCGAGCGGCAGGACGGGGAGAGGGCGATCAGAACGAGTGCGAGAATCAGGGTCAGGAGGGGATAAGTAGCAGGGGTTGAGAGGACAGAAAAAAGGAGTAGCACGAGGCGAACCGTTCTGCCTCGGCCTCCTGCGCGCGGGGCGCCGTGCGCCGTCCTGCGCACGGGGCGCCGTGCGCCGCGTCGAGCACTCGGCTCAATCGAAACGTAGTTTCGTTCGGTTCAATCCTTAATCAGCCCCTGGGGGCCAAAATCGACTCGGCCCCACTGGTTGCGCCAAACACACCCAAACATTTTTTGAAACGAAAACCTCATCCTTCTATCCTTCTCATTCTCTTCGAAGCGCCCTCAGCGCTGACCTAAAGCTTGATCGGCTTCAAGCCCTTGGCCGCGTCGGCGGTCTTGCTGCCCTTGGCCGCGGACTTCACCTGGATCACGATCTCATTGAAGAGCTCGACCATCTGCTTGTACGGGACGCTCATGGCTTTGAGAGCCTCCGCCACGTCCGCCTTCGAGATGTTGCGCTTGGCCTCGCCCTGGGCCACCAGGGGGGACTCGATGGCCTCGCTAGGCCCCGCCGCGGCCTTGCACAAGCTGATGGCCCTCCCAGACATCAGCTTCGTGGTCTCGGAGTTGCCCTCGGCGGCCATCATCTTGGTGCCCAAGCGGCGCAGGGCCAGAGTCACCCTCGAGACCGCGTCGAAGCTCTCCTGCGGGTAGCACCCACTCCCAATCCTACTCATACCACATGCACCTTCCCACTCCTGCTCATACTCCTACCCCCACTCCTCCCACTCCCTCTCAGGATTATGAGTGGGAGGAGGGGGGGTAGGAGCATGAGTAAGAGTAGGAGTATCAGTAGGGTTGGAATAACACTAGGAGTACGAGTAGGAGTAGGAGTCCTGCATGACCGTGAAGTCGCCGTCGTCCGCCTGCGCCCCCGCGATCTTCTTGGGGGCCCCCTTCTGGCACTGCTTGAACCAGTCGCCGAGCGGCTCCGCGGTGAGCTGCTCCTCCTGGTCGCACAACGCCTGCACGAACTCGTCGCTCGAGAGCAGGCCGCCCGTGTCCTCCTCGCCCTTGTAGCCCTTCTCCTGGACTCGCGTCCGCTCGATGGTGTGGGACTTCTGGTAGTAGAGCCCCGTGTCCTCTGCCTGGTAGACCTCCCCTGCGTCGAGCGCTTTCTGCGCCAAGGACTCGGAGCCGCCGAACTTCGTCCCGACGAGACTCCACCATCCAAGGCCGTGCGCCGTCTCTTTGTTCTCGTCGCGCATCATGCTGCGCTGGAAGCGTTTCACCGAGCGTGTCTTGATCAAGACACCCACACCGCCAGCAGCCTTCCTCGTAACGCAGCTGTTGATGATCTGGTTGATCTGCGCCTGCTTGCCGACGGTCTTGTTGGCCGTGTCCATCAGCTTGTCGAACTGGGCCACCAAGGCCTGATCGAAGAGGTGGCGATTCTTCGCGAAGGTGTGCCTCTGGGCACGAGTCGTCGTGCGGGAATCAGCTGCTCCGTCCTCTGCGTCCTCGTCGTCCTTGAGGGTGTTCTTGCCCTTGCCGCGCGTGGCGGCGATGCTCACCAGAGGCTCCTCGTCGGCGTCGTCCTCCTCCTCGTGTTTGTCCTGCTCGTGCCAAGCCGCTGGCCTGCGGAGCTTCGCCGCGGGCATCGCCTTGGCCGCAGCTGGGCGCTTCATCAGAAGCCGCGTCCACAAAAAGTGGATCCTTTCTCGTCAGATGGAGAAGCCCTCTGAATGGCTTGAGCCAAAACGGCAATGGCTCCTCCTCCTCCTCCTCCTCCTCCTCCTCCTCGCTCTCCCACCAGGGCACAGGAACCCAGGAATCCAAGACCCAAGGAGTCCAGGCGCGCGCCCCTGGGACCCATCAGGATCCTAGGGGCCCATGGGCCAACGAAGCCCTTCAACCAGAAATCCAGAAACCGAGGGGCCGAAAAACATCGGAAAGATAACGCTGATTAGCAGACGTGGCATGACGTAGCTCAAACTTCGCGGCTGTGCCCGCATACGTTAACTGCGAAACAACATCCCAACACCAGGCCAAAAACTAAGTGCAAACTAAGTGCAAACTAAGTGCGTTTTAAGTGCAATTCTAAGTTTGTTCTAAGTCTAAGTTGAGGTACGAACTAAGTAACTTAAGTACGTTCTAAGGTAAGTTTATTTTAAGTTAAGGTGCAGAACTTAAACATAACTTATCCTTTCTTTTCTGTGGGTGCCGGATGCTCAGGGCTGGGGGGGGGTTGGGGTTCCGGGGGTTTTGGAAAACCCCTTCCTGGGTAGGGTTTGGGGGCCCCAGAGGTTTTGGAAAACCCCTCTCCGGAATGTTTTAGGGTCCCGGGGGTTTTGGACTCCCCCCCTGGGGTAGGTTTGGGGTCCTGGGGCTTTTGGAACCCCCCCCCCTGGGGGGGGGGGGGTCCCGGAGGTTTTGGACCCCACCCTATAGGGTTGGGGTCCCGGGGGTTGTGGAAAACCCCGCCCTGGGGGGGGATGGGATCCCGGGGGTTTTGGACCCCCCTCCCTGGGGGGTGTTTGGGGTCCCGGGGGCTTTGGAAAACCCTCTCTTGGGGGGGGGGGGGGGGGGGGGTCCCGCGGGGTTTTTGGAAAACCCTTCCCTGGGGGGGGGGGTCCCGGGGCTTTGGGACCCACCCCCTTGGGGAGGGTTTGGGGTCCCGGGGGTTTGGAAACCCCCCCGGGGGAGGGTTTGGGGTTCCGGGGGTTTTGGGACTCCCCCCCCTGAGGGGGGGTTTGGGGACCGGGGGGTTTTGGAAAACCTCCCCCTGGGGGAGGTTTGGGGTCCCGGGGCTTTTGGAACCCCCCCCCCTGGGGGGGTTTGGGGCTTTGGAAAACCCCTCCCTGGGGGGGGGAGGGGTCCTGGGGGTTTTGGAAAACCCCCTCCTGGGGTGGGTTTGGGGTCCCGGGGGTTTCCTTTGGAAAACCCCCATCCGGGGGGGTTTTGGGGTCCCGGGGGTTTTGGACCTGGGCGAGGTTTGGGGTCCCGGGGCTTTTGGAAAAACCATCCCCTGGGGGGTGGTTGGGGTCACAAGGCTTTTGGAAAACCCCGCCCTGGGGGGGGGGGGGTTGGACTTCCCCCCAGGGGTTCCTCCTCCCTCCTCCTCCTCCCCTTGGGGACCAGAGCCGGAGCGAAGCCGGATCGGCAAAAGCCGGCAGGAATCGGCTGACGCATCGAATCGGCAAAAGCCGGACCGGGCGAACTCGAAATCGGAATCGCGAATCGGAATCCCGGAATCGAGTCGGTTCGAAATCGGAATCGCGGAAATCGATTCGAATCGAACCGGCGCAATCGGAATGACCCCTGCCAGGATGGCATCCAATACATCCAAGATGCCCCTAAGAGAACCCCAGATCGCCCCAAGGTGCCTCCAATGCGGCCCAAGATGGACCCAAGACGGCCCACGATCGCCTCAAGACGGCCCAAGAGCCCCCCCAATACGGCCTTTTCAAAACCTCTACGAGGGCCCGAACATGCTAAACTCGCGAATGTTCCCAAAACCTGTTTGAAAGATTTCGGCGATCTCGCCGTTTCGGGCTCTCGACTGCCTAAGACGGGCCCATAGGCCTCCAAGATAGCCCCTAAGACGGTCCCAGAAACCCAGCAAACCTCCCCGAGACAGGCCAAGAGAGCTACAAGACGGCCCAACAGGCTTCCAAAGACCTCAACACGGCCCGAAAACGTTCAAAGAGTGCCCCAAGACTGCTTAATGAGGCCCTCAAAACGGCCTACGAAAACCAACCGGCTCCTTGCAGGCCCTCAGAAGCCCCCAAGAGGCCCCAATACGCCCTCAGCAGGCCTCTTCCTCCTCCGTCCTCCGTCCTCCGTCCTCCGTCCTCCGTCTTCCTCCTCCTCCTCCTCCTCCTCCTCCTCCTCCTTCCCTCCTCCTCCTCCTCCTGTATCCCCCCCTAAGTTGTCCCCGAAGGTTTCCACAACGGCTCGGGAACCAATCGTCCAATAGTTTAGCACGACGTCGGCCCAACGTTTGGCCACAGAGGCGCTTGGTTCGCCGTAGGCATCTTCGATAACTTCAATAACTTCCCCGATGGAAGGGAGACTGAGTGCAGCAGGCAATGCCAAGATCTCAAGACAGCCAAAAGCTGGGGCCACTAATTGTTGTTTCGGCTCGGCACTTCTGCGCGCTTGTCGGCTGCTCCACACTCGCGCTCCACGCAGAACACTTGCAAGCAACGTCAGACATCGAACTCCACGTCGCACAGTCAGCCGTCGATACCCGTGTCTCCGCGCAACTCGCACGAATCCACAGCGCTGCAAGACACGTGTGGCCGAGTATTCCCTGCATCGTAGCCGTACTGAACCTCTGAAGACAAGGCAACATATCGCGGACGCAACGGAATTTCCCTTATCCCATGCTGACTTCTACAATACTTCGTCTGAGTATCGTTTAACCGATCCCCATCCCCAGCAGCGTGGCCTGGGCCCCACTGGCCGATTTACCCCCCTAGATGGGGATATGGGCAGTTCCCTTCGGGTCTCGAGGGACGTATCCCCAACTGGGGGGGGTAATTTGGTGGGGGTCTCGAAGGGGATGGGGATGGGGATGGGGATGGGGATCAATTAAACGATACCGATCGTCGGGGTAGACAGTGCGAAACCGGTCGCCAGGAGAGCATGTTTCCACTTAGTAGTTCGAGCCGTTCCAAATGCGAGACCTGATTTACCGATGTCCTTCTGTATTGTACCTGCTAGCTACCCGAAATCCTGGACGAGTAATGCAGCGCGCTTGCTCTCGGAAAGCTACGTCGGAGATGTCGGCATGCTCATGTGCTTTATGCGCCGACTCCACCGCCCTTCGCACTGGCCAATACGAGCATCTTTGTTTCTGCGGACGGGAAACGCATCTCTTACATACATACGCGTTGACGTGTCGATCATGGACACACTGACGAAGCATCGACATAGTCCATGCTGTCGACGTGCTACTTACCACGGTCCCCCTACACGTTTTGGATCTCATCGAAGTGCTCTGTGCGATCGCCCCGATGTGTTTCGGCGACGGAGAACGCATAACTTGCTTGACGTGGACTCGGCCGATTCCGATTTTACCGCCCTTGAAAGGTTGACGGCGCGCACAAGGGGGGGGGTAGGGGGAGGGGGGAAGGCTTCTTAGAAGAAGGCTGCTCCTTGGAAGGGGCCGGCCCTACATCTAATGAGAAGTCAGGCGCCTTTTTAGGAGCAGCCTCCTTCTAAGAAGCCTTCCCCCTTCCACCTACCCCCCATTGCGCGTGGCTGGAAATGGCACGCCACGCGTCAACCCACTTCAAAAAGGACCAGACATCATGGCGGACGTCCGCGCGCCTTCCTCGGTTCGGCGCTGGACCCTGCCCCCATGGCGCGCCTCCAGCGACGCTGGAGGGGCCGCTGAGGGGCCCAGCGCCAGCCAAGAAATCCGCGCGGACCTCGAGAGGGGTACGTCTGTTTTACCTTCGCCTCATCTAGAAAGAGGCACGCAGCATGTCAGTTCACTTCGGCAGAGGGAGATGGAGGATGGCGACGACGACGACGACGACGGCGGCGACGACGACGACGACAACGACGAAGACGACGACGACGACGACGGGGATCTCAACGGCGACGGCGGCGACGCTCACGACTACGACGGACAAGCGGGCAAACCGAACGTACCGGTTCAGTTCACTCGCAAGGTAAAACGGCTTCGATAAAGCACGCCGCGTTGGGAGATCGGCCAGGTCGGGGCGCTGGTGCCCCGCTTCCGGGGCTATATATATGTATAGGGGACGGCTGGTTTCTGGCTCCTGGCTTTTCATGACTGACGCCATACCACAACCCTCCCAAGCCAATGTGTTCGACCATGTACCCCTCCTTCCCCCTCGGCCTTCGAAGCCTTCGTAGGTTTTCAGCGGTCTTATGGCGGTCTTCGGCGGTCTTCCCGTGGTTTCTGGTGGTGTTTTGCGCGAGGGCTGGACGGTTGCGCTTCACAAGGGGTCCTGAATCGAACGTTTAGACACTCAGTATCCCTCGGATGGGCGGGCCCCGCGCCGCGGGAGCCAAACAAATGCTCGCCACCGCGAGCATCATGTTGGCGTAGAAGACGACGTACCGCCCGCCGGAGACAGCAGGCTCGAGGTAGCAGCCAAAGCTGAACAACCCTCCAGCGAGCATCGGGCACACGCCCCGGAAGAAAGCGTTCAGAGAGTTGCACCAGCCGTTGATTGCGCCACGGTGCCGCGATGTGCAGGCCCTGTTGACGAGGATGGCCAGGGAGGGAAACGCTGGAGAGAAGCCGAGTTGGCTGAGGGCCTGCCACGCTCCACATGGCACCAGCCTCCAGAAACTTCCGCTGTTAACAGCCATGCCGTACAGCGGAAACGGGAGCGTAAGGGCAATAGTCCACGTAAGGCCCAGTGCGAGCATCCTGCGGGGCCCAAACCTCCTCACCAACGGTTGATATAGCAGCGTCTGGACGACGATGATCGACACTGCGGAGCAGGCCTGGATGTAGCCAAACTGCTGAGGAGAGAAATTCAGCCCGTGCATGCTGGGCGGCAGGGAGGCAACCAGCACGAAAGCGTTGATCCTGGCAGCCACGTACCTGGCAGAATGGAGATACAGTCAACCCGTATGGTAAGGACGCACGATAAAGAAGCAATGGCCTTGGAAGGCCATGCCGACACCTTGCGAACGGGGCGCAGCCAGGGAAAGCGAAGCGGCCAAGGATGGGCCGAAGGGGAAGGATACAAGGGTAAACTTGGAGGGTGCGCCGCTGGATCTCCCCAAGGGGGGGGGGTAGGACTCCCCCCCACCCACCCCTTCCCCGATCCGTCGTCGGGGACCCCCCCCCTCCCCCCCTTTCCCCGACCCGTCGTCGGCCCTTTCAAAAGGGGGGGGGGGTCCGAACTCCCCCCCCCCCCTTTCGCCACGCCGCCCCCTGACTCCGGAACCCGACCCCCGCCACCCCTATCCTTGTTCCTTATTATTATATATCCCCACTTACGTCGTATTCCGGCCGATAGCGACCCAATCCGGGACCTCCCATCCGGACTATAAAAAATCAATACAAAGTGGCCGTTTTTCTTCTCAACATCGTCTTTCTTGTCGTCGACGATGCGAAAAGCGTGGCAGCAATGGGACGCGGCGCACATCGCGCGCGGCAGTCAATCTGGGCCCGCCCATCCTGACTGCAAAAAACCAATACAAAGTCTTCGTTTTTTCCTCTCAGCATGGCCTGCCTTGTCGCCGATGTGGCAGCAGTGGGACGCGGCGCACATATGGGACGCGGCGCCGCACATCGCGCGCGGCCGTCAATCTGGGCCCGCCCATCCTGACTGATAAAAATTAATACAAAATCTCAGTTGTTTCCTCTCAACATGGCTTGCCTTGTCGCCGACAGTGCGAAATATGTGGCAGGAGTGTGACGCGGCGCACATCGCGCGCGGACGTCCATGCGGGCCGCGGGCCCTCCCATCCTGACTGTAAACAACAATATAAAGTACCACTACCACTACCACTACCAATACTACAACAACAACAACTACTACTACTACTACTACTACTACTACTGCTGCTGCTACTACTACTACTACTACTACTACTACTACTACTACTACTACTACGACGACGACGACGACGACGACGACGACGACGACGACGACGACGACGACGACGACGACGACGACGACGACGACTACGACGACGACGACGACGACGACGACGACGACGACGACTACTACTACTACTACTACTACTACTACTACTACTACTACTACTACTACGCGCCAGCACCCAGTTGCGCCAGCATTGTTTCTTATGTTGTGGGAGGGCGGAACGTGTCCGTTGTTCCTTTCAACATGGCCAGTCTTGTCGTCGACGATGCGAAATGCGTGGCGGGAATGGGACGCGGCGCACATCCCGCGCGGACGTCAATGCGGTGTCCTGGGGTATCCTCCACTCGCACTGAAATGCCCGCGCACCCCCCAGTTGTGCCATCACTGTTTCTTCTGTTGTGGGAGGGCGGGTGGGAATGGGCATGCCATGCTTGACTCGCTCGAGCTGGCTAGCTTGACCCCTAGTCCTCACCCTAACCCAAGCCCCTAATCCTGACCCCAACCACTAACCCCAGCCCCAAAGAGTACTCACTACTCATTACTCACTACCCACTACTGACTACTCGCTATTCGCTACTCACTTCTCACTACCCCCTACTCACTACTGACGACTCACTACCCACTATCCACTACTCACTACCCACCAGTCACTACTCGCTACTGACTACTCCCTACTCACTACTCCCTCCTCCCTACTCACTACTCACTACCCACTCCTCACTACCCACTACTCAACACTCACTACTCACTTAGCACTACTCACTACTCCCCACTCACTACTCACTAATCACTACCCATTACCTATTCCCCACTATCCACTACTCACTACTAACTACACATAGCCAACAAACCACTACTCACTACCCACTACTCGCTACTCGCTACTCCCTACTCCCTACACAATACTGGCTACACAGTTCTCAGTACTCGCTACTCGCTACTCCCATAATCGCTACTCAATACTCACTACTCACTCCCCGCTCCACACTATTCACTACTCACTACTTACTACTCCCTATTCACTAGTCACTACATAGTCTCTAGTCACTAGTCACAACTCACTAGTCACTACTCACTACCCACTACTCACCAATCGCTACTCACTACCCACTATTCGCTATCCACTACTCCCTGCTCACTGCTCACTACTCCCTTCTCCCTACCTCCCTACTCACTACTCACAACTCGCTACTCCGTACTCGTTACTCACTAATCACTACACACTACTCGCTACTGGCTACTCTCTACTCACTACTCACTACGCCCTACTCGCTCCTCACTACTGACGACTCGCTACTCCCTACTCGCTACTCGCTACTCACTACCCACTGCCACTACCCATTACTCTCTATTCATCACTACTCACTACTCACTACTCACTACGCACTACCTACTACTCAGTACTCACTACTCATTACTCACTACTCACTACCCACTACTCGCTATTCACTACTCACTACTCACTATTCACTACTCACTACACTACTCACCACTCACCACTCACTACTCACTACTCACTACGCACTGCGCACTACCCACTACTCACTACTCACTAAATCACTACTCGACACCCACTACTCACTGCCCACTACTCACTACCCACTACTCATTAATCCCTACTCCCTACTCAGTACTCACTACTCGCTACTTGTTACTCACTACTCACTACTCGCCACTCACTACCCACTTATCAGTACACACTACTCACTATTCACTACTCACTACCCCCACTCCCTACTCCCTACTCCCTACTCGCCATTCACTACCCACTACTCACTACCCAATACTCACTACTCACCACGCACTAACTCACTACTCACTACTCACCACTCCCTACTCCCAACTCCGCACTCCCTACACGAGGGGTGGAGGGGGGTCCGAACCCCCACCTCCCCTCCTTTCCACCGCCAGTGGGGGGAGGGGGGAGGGGCATGGACTCCCCCGCCCCCCCCCCCCCCCCCCTTTCTTCAAGGAGGGGGGGGGGGTCGGGAGACCCCCCCCTCGAGGAGGGGGGAGGGGGGGGGTCCGGACGCGCGCGGGTCACTTTACAACCAGAAGCGCACTTTACAACCAGATGGGCCACTTTACAACCAGCTTACAAAATCCGAGAAGGGCACTTTACAACCAGGAAGGGCACTTTACAACCAGGCAAGTAAAAAACACATATTGACTGCACGCGGGCCTTTCCCTGAAATCTCCGTGGGCAAGCGCAAGGGTGGCTTTGGGCTCTTCGAGGCACGTTGGCTGTAAAGTTGCCCATCGCGCACGAAGAAGCACTGCGCGCGCATTGGCGATGCGGCGACCTGGTGCGCTATGGTATGTTGCGTGCTGGTGGGCGGATTAGGGTTTTGACTTCCTCTCTAAGCTCTGTCGGTCAGTTCTGCATTGTTGGACGAAGGCTAGTCGCGCAGGACATGCGAATAAACCATGATCCCGCCCAAGACTGGAGCTGCATGGCAGTGGGAAGCTGTAGTGGGAGATGTGGTGGTAGCGGCGGCTACAATGGGAACTGCACGGTGTTGGGAAGCTGCGGTGGCAACTGTAGTGGTCGCCAGGCAGCGGTGGGAACTGTGGTGGTAGCTGGGCTGCAATGGGATTTGCGGCGGTAGCGGGGTGTCAGTCGGAATTGTGGAGGTAGCGGGGCTGCAGCGGTAAGTGCGGCGGTAGCAGGCACAAAGGTGGCGGTGATGCGCTGTCGCGGTGGCTCAAGCTGCTGCGCTGGCACGGTGGCTGGGGCTGCTGCCCGAGCAGGATACCTGCGTTGCTGCGCTGGCACTGTGGCTGACGCTGGAAGGAACGATCTTCGAAATAGTTGCATTTATTCGGAACGTTGAACCTCGATCTTCCAAGAAGAGGAGCAGCAGGGGGCCAACTGGAGCTGGAGCACTTAGCCCCTTGCAGAATACCGTGGGGCTTCAGGGGCCAACGTGGCCCAAGAGACCCGCGGTGCCAATGGCCTCGTTCCCTGGGGCGCTGGGCCCTTGTGGAGGCCACTGGGCTCGCTTCCTGTGAGTGATCCCTAAAATGGGCAGCGCGTCGCCCTGAGCCTTCCTACGTATGCTGTCGCCTTATTCCCGTGCGAGCACGGGGCCCTTGTTGAGGCCGCTTGGCCCCTGCTAGCAAGCCCTGTCTTAGTCTGCTGGGCTCAGAGCGCCAGAGCGTCCAGGCGCTCGGGCTCAGAGGCATCGCTGGGGCCTGCTCAGAGCGTCCAGGCGCTCGGGCTCAGAGGCATCGCTGGGGCCTGCGCAGAGCGTCCAGGTCCTCGGGCTCAGAAGCATCGCTGGGGCCTGCGCAGAGCGTCCAGGTCCTCGGGCTCAGAGGCATCGCTGGGGCCTGCGCAGGGCGTTCAGGCGCTCGGGCTCAGAGGCATCGCTGGGGCCTGCGCAGAGAGTTCAGGCGCTCGGGCTCCAGAGCGCCCACGTGCTCTGGAGCACTTTTCAGAACGTCCGCGCGCCCTGGAGCACTTTTGAGAGCGCCCACTTGCTCTGGAGCATTTTTCAGAGCGCCCACTTGTTCTGGGGCATTTTTCAGAGCGCCCACTTGCTCTGGAACACTTCGCGGAACGCCCAAACACGCACGGCCACTCTGAGCTGGTTGTAAAGTGGTCCGTTCTGGTTGTAAAGTGGCCCGTTCTGGTTGTAAAGTGGCCCGTTCTGGTTGTAAAGTGGTCCGTTCTGGTTGTAAAGTGGGCCGTTCTGGTTGCAAAGTGGACGTTCTCTATGAAAAACCATTATCCCGGCAAAGCAACCTAACAGCCATGTGTAGGAGCATATCTGGAAGCATTCCCCTTAAGATTCGGATGAGAATCCAGTTGTAGAATTCTGCTGTTCTCGCAGTCGTTGTCGCATTCGCGAGGACAGTCGCAGCGGCAACGGCAGTCGCAGTCACAGCCTCAGCCTCAGCCTGCCTCAGCCTCAGCCTCAGCCTCAGCCTCAGCCTCAGCCTCAGCCTGCTTCAGCCTCAGCCTCAGTCTGCCTTCGCCTCGGCC